TCATATATATTCCATGTGATAGTAATGTAATAACAACAATAATATCTTTTCTATCTCTTGCGAGTGACAGGTTAGCACTCGACTTCTATCGGGTCCTATAGCATAGCAATCTATACGATCCTGACATACTAGTAGGACTCATAGGATTAGGATATATATATATATATATATATATATATATATATGCAACTGGGTTTCATTCAACTCCTTAAAACTTAATGCACAAGCATAAAATAAAGTGCAGAATATTAGGGGTTATGCACCGGGGCTTGCCTGGGTAAGATATAACCAAAAGTTAGCATTCCATCATAGTGACACGATCATCAAGGTATCATCTTTTCCGCTACTTCAGTCGACTCCGTGATCCATCGTTGCTCCTATTATGATATACGTGGATACAACACAGAGACGCAATTAATTAACGGTAACCGTAACTCTTAAATATACGATTACGCTCTGCAAGCTAACGAGCTAGATTTAATGAGTAACATACTGATCTACGTATCCACGTCGTCAAGTAAGGCTTTGTCTCTAGAAAAATATTTTTGTTCTAAAATCCCAAGGTGTTTCGGTATTTTATTGATTAAACATATATTTTTAAACTAGAGCTCATTTAGCTACTTTAGCAAACTAATTATAATAGAGCTACAAAAATTACAGTGAGCACCTAATAATGTTAGAAATTTACTGTGAAAGTTTCAGAGCCAACACTATCACCAATTTATCATAAAAATTCCTTCAAGTTTATATCTTATAATATTAAGCATCTCAAATTAATTATATAACTCCTAAAAATATTATAAAACTATGTGAACAAAATATACTAGCAGACATATCATGATTTTAGGAACCTAACAAAATTGGTTTCACAATTTTTGGTTAACTACACAATTTTATACTGAATTTACAAGTTACCTTAGAAACTAAATTAAAATTGCACTAAAAAAATAAAAGGGTTGGCAGCAACCCCCTTAGGCCCGACAGCCCAGCGCGGCGTGGCTGCGCGCGCAGCGTGGCGGCCCAGCATGGCTCAAGGCCAGGACGCCCGCATGCGACGGCGGCTTTGTAGAATAGCCCCCGTGCTTTTAGATAATAACATGACTACTATGAGCACTATTCCTACCGTCAGTAATCTTGCAACTATACCCTCGGATATTTTCACCTTTATCATGGGGAGGTCCCTGGGATCTCCGCGTGCGCCGGCGCAGCGGCCGACGTCACAAGGCAGTTACGCCGGGCAAACTAGGCTCTCTACGACGGAATTAAGGGACCGACCACCATCTACAGCCAACCGCGCAAGGATGGGTGGTGGTTAGGGACTCGAAGGCACACTGTCGCGGGCTACAGTAGCGAGCGGCTATCCGTGGCGGTGGCGCGACTGTTCTAGCGAGCCTACATACGCTCGGTAGAGTAGAAGTGGTGGATAAGTATCAGTGGCTCACCGTGGGGTACGCCCTACTGACGGTTGAAGCAGGGGAGCGCTGCGACGGTCTAGCCACGTGCGACCGAGCGAGGCGGCGACGCTCTGCGATGGACACCGGCGCATCACCCCACCGACGATGAGCACCCTGGCCAAAATAACGCGAGCAATGGATGGAGGGAGTCAAGGCGAACTCAGAGTTACGAGCAATTGAACTGTTACCGCTCCTATAGGCCTTACCCCCAACCCTCTGGTCACGGCGGCGCACATGATCGGAAGCGAGGAGAAACCAAAATTGATCATTGACAGACCACGGCTGGGCTCGATGAGAATGCGGCACCTAGCTAACTTGCTAAGCTACTCACCGGTGCGAGGAATTGGACTGGGAAGCCTCGGGCTGGTGATTAAGAAAGGGAGAGGGAGAGCGGTGCACTACCACCGCCACATCACGGGAAGTGGCCCCGGCAGAGATGGCTCGGCCATGACCCTACGAGGTACGACAACGTGGGGATATGACCGTTCGAGCGAAGGATAAGCGGCGCGTCGGTTAGCGCTTGGACGGAGCCGTTGAAGGTGTGCCCGCATGCGGTCACGCACACGCAGCAGCACAGCGTCGCGATGCAATAAACTACGTACGACATCGAGCTCGGGCTCGGTAGGAGGGTTGTGCGGCTGAGGGCGGGTGCTATAGTAACCAAAACAACAAGAGGACAAGGCGCAGCACTGTACGTGCGCTTGGACAGCGCCACGGTCGGGCGTGTCCTGAGCACGGCCGAGAGCGGCTATCACCACGTCTGGCCCAGCGGGCAGCCGACGCCACATGACTGGTCAGCGGGACAACGGTCACAGCTATAGAGTACGCCAGCCAATGCGCGGCGCAGCGCGTGGTAGCAGCGGTGCAGGTAGCCCACGACGGCGCGACATCGGACGCGGTGACCGCGTCACCGGGCCCGAACGACCGAACCACGTGCGAAGCATGAATTTTAAAGCGTCAAAACCAACCGCTTAGAGCCCAGTTGAGATTAAAACAAGAGTTCAAGATTCTAGTAGCTACTAAGTGCTTCTCGTCCGAGCAACGAGCATGGGCGGAGAGTGAGCATCGAGGGAGATAGAGATGTGCCAACAGGAGCTCGTCGCGCTAAACACCAGTTCACGACCGAAGTCCGAAACAAGATTGACAGCGCGTTCAAACAAAGTTAGGGCAATTTCTGCGACGCCACGACAACTTCAACTCATCTGTGGACTTCACCATGCTAAAGTACTCACTTCGATGCAATCAACAATATCAAAACATGCAGCTAGTGTTTAAACATTTTAGCTAGAATTTAAATGTCAAGATAACATTGTCTTACTACTTTTTCCATAATTAGAAAAGTTAGGGTTCAATTCAAACTAACAGCCATTAACACTTTTGTTACAATTTTTAAAAGGCCTAAACCCTATTAACTGCTACCAACAAGTATTTCATGCAATAGTCCATATCTTATACTAACCCATAGTTGCAAAAATTTTAAGCACCATTTAACAATTTTGCTCAATATAATTTGCCAAAAATGGTATTTTACACAATGGTTTAAGTGTTTGCCGACTTAACAAAAAGAGCTTATCTTAACGTTAAATTTGATTTTTGAGCTCCCAAAACACTAGTTAACAACATCTATTTTCCAAAAGTTAAAGTTGCATTTCCATCTACTAAACTTGTACTTCAATTTTTATTTAAGTACTAAATACAAGTTATGTTTGATCCTTGTTCATAGAAATTGTTTTTCACCTCACGTGCGTTATAAATTTTTAAAACCCAGAAACTTGTTAGGCTAATTCTTCTCGGACCTAAATCTCGGTGCTAAGCAAGCTCGTAACACCAGGGGTGTTACACGCGCGCCCCTTCGCTGGTGCGCGCATCCACCCGAGAGTGAGCGCGCCGCCGTCGAAGGGTTGTGCGGCGGTGCCGTTGCGCCCGCACGCGGAACGTCAGAGGCGTCGGTGAGCCCACGGCTCGGCCGGTCTTCCCGCGCGCTGGTGAAGCGGCGGCGGGTCCTTCCCGTGCACGGCGGTGTTGACGGTGGTGAAGAAACCAGGTAGGTCCTCTCCTTCTCCATCTGTTCCCCTTCTAGGGTTAGGGTTAGGGTTAGACTATTTCTTCTTGCGCCCGCGGCGGCTCGGGTGGCTTTCCGCGCGGCGTCGAGGCGACGGCCGGCGGTGGTGATCTAGGGTTAGGGTTTTGGGAAAATTGGGAAAATGTCAACTCCTACATTTGTATTCACTTTTCTACCCCAGATTCGATCTACACACTATAAGAAACATGTCTCCGATACCATTGATGAATCTGAAAGTACTTCTAGGCATAGATCAGTGGGTAATACTTAGCTTAGATAGAAAACTTGGGTCGCCAAGCGTAGTCGCGGCCATGGCGCCGGAGCGACGTGTCCACTGGTGTCGGAGTAGGGGAAGACGTGCAGGCGCGGTCCAGTGGCGGCGGCGAAGGCGATGGTGCTTCCCGTGCAGGCGCGGTCCAGTGACGGCGGTGAAGGCGATGGTGCTTTCCGTCGCTCACAGCACGCTCTTTAGATTGGGCTAGGGCTAGGAACCACGGTGGGGCTAGCGGCTACGACGAACCTCGTGTCTTGCGCCCCGGCCCCCACCTTTCTCTTTATAACGCTGCGCGATGGGGGCCCATCAGCCAGGAAAACGGCTGGGCGCCCCTAATCAGGACGCGGATCAAAGGCCTAATTAGCCGTTAGACCAACTGGTGAAGATCAATCTAACAGTTGGTTGTTAGATTAAGTTGAACTAGACCTGCGAGGTTTCCGATGGATGATGGGATGCTTCCTGACAAGTTGTTGTAGCTCAGAAACAGCTTGTTCAACAGTGTGAGCTTGCTTATGCTTACTGGAATGGCCCCAGTGAGCAAGTTCTTTCCAAGCATAAGCTGCTGAAGGCCTACTAGATTTCCAATGTCAGTTGGGATGGCACCAGAGTAAATCAGTAGCTCCTGGAGAGTCGTGGACAAATTAGCCAATGAATTTGGTAGTTCCCCTGCAAACCTACTATTCCATCCCAATTCTAGTACTTGCAGCGTGCTACAATTTGTGAGCGAAGTAAGGAATGCCCATTCTTGCTCACTGTATGCCCGTTGGCTTTGACTGAATTTGGCTGAAAAAACAGGCTAAAATACTGTTCCGACTAAATTGTTGAGAGAGAAAAACATTGTTTCGGTCGAACTAGCCGAATTTCAAGACAAACGATCGGGCTGTTGTTGTCCAGGTTGAATTGCTGCAGCCTGCTCAGCTCAGAAGGGACGACTCCACTGAACTCGTTGACGGATACGTCAAAGATTTGGAGATTGGAGAGATTAGTGAGAGATGTGGGGACGGCTCCCGTGAACCGGTTACCTCCAAGCGCAAAGAACCGCATGCTGCTGCCAAGGGTTGTTCCAAAATCTTGCGGGAGACGACCGTGCAGCTCGTTCTCCGCCATGGAAAACAGCTTGAGCGATGACAGGTTGTACAGGGAAGGAGGAAGCGCTCCTGAGAGGTTGTTCATGGAGAGCTGAAGGCTCCTGAGGTGTGGGTTGCCCCCGATGCCTTGGGGGATCGGCCCCTCTATGTGGTTGATCGCCAGCGACAGGTCCTCCAGCCGGGAGAGGTTCCCGAGCGACGCAGGGATGGTTGTTGTTGGCAAGACGGAGAATTCTGAGCATCGTCAGCATGCCGCCGATCTCGGCAGGTATTCTTCCTCGCAGCCCCCTGTTGTCACTGACGTCCATGACCTCGAGGCGGGCGCAGCGGCTGATGTTGCCCGGGATCTCGCCCGCGAGCGAGTTGTCCGCCAGGTCAAGATACCGGAGGCGGCGGAGGGAGCCGATGGTCGGCGGGATGTCGCCGCACAGGGCGTTGAGGCTCAGGTTGAGCGACCGGAGGAAGCTGAGGTTGCCGATGGCGGGGGAGATGGTGCCGGCGAGCCCCCGGGAGTGCAGGTCCAGAGCGACCACCCTCCGCGGGTGTCTCTGGCCGCCGCACGTGACGCCCTCCCAGTGCCGTTCCGGGACCAGGAGGCGAGCGGGGCTCCGGATGCCGCCTTTGCCTTGAAATCTAGGAGCGCGCTCTCGTCGCTTTCGTGGCCTGTGGACGACGGCGCGGTTGCAGCGGCATGGCTGACTGGCCTGGCTGGCTGGTTATTATCCCTACACAGCTGGTGCTTGACCCATCCTATTATATTCCAGTATTCCTACGACGCCGACACGCCGTATCGTCTGAAATCAGGATTCATGAACGAGGACTCGCTGTGTCTGTCCTTGTCCTCTTGTCCATGACCACGAGTCCACGATCCACGGCCAGGCGTAGCAGCCTTTTTCAACCAAAAAAAAAAAGATGAGGACGTTTGGCACGGTGGCAGCGGAACTGACGCGCCATCCCTGTTCGGGTGAGCCCGCTTTCCGCAAAGCTTCCTCCCCACTTTCCGCTTTCGAGGTGAATGGTTGATCCTAGCGATGAAAAGGGACAGAAATTTTTTCGTCCATTTTTCTACTTGTATTTGTCTTATATATCTGCTTTCGTGTCTGCCGAATTCGGAAGAGAGGCATGTTTTTGTAAGATCTATTTTCATCCGTTAAGCTCTTTTACAGCCAGCTGCTGCTTCTTGCACAGTAAATTGTGAGAGAATTTTGGCTGCAGCACAGTTGTCTTAGGTTAATACACCTATTAATCATCAATTATACATGTTAACACGTATGGCATGCAAGTAAATATTAAACCAATCTTCATATGTGTATATTGTCGTGTGACTTGCTAAATCATGTGATCCTGTTGGGTATGAAGATACTCAAGCACCAAGCGTTAACTTTCACGTGTTATAAACCATGTTGCAAAATGTTTTTTCTTGTCCGCTACTGTACGTCACCGAGAGTATCTATAGACGAAGGGATCTACAACATCTTTACTAAATTCCCTTTTTACCCCTGATTTTTGAATTACACACAAAATCACTCTTCGGACTTGACAAGGGCGTTACAGTAATTTTACAGATTCAAAACTACATTCACCGTAGTGGCCACATCAATGATCGGCTTCGTTAAGGGGAGGGTCTTTGCCGATGGAGCCTTCAAATCATGAAGCTTCGTTTGGTCCTCGCTGTTGGCCGAAGGTGATCGTGCTCTGGCTGTATCCTGAATCACAGTCGTTCTGTAACCATCTCCTGAAGGCTCCATCCTTCTTGACTTTCAAAAAGAAAAAAAGGATTGTCCGTATTCGAAGACGTCAGGATGTGATTTCAGGGGACTGTTATATCCAAGGTTGAATCCCCAACAGATCCTAAACTATTTTTTTTTACTCTCCATCGTATTTGTCTGTTTTTCGTATGTCCGTAAATTCGAATCCCATTTCTAACCTTGGCCTTTTTTAACCCGGACCATTTTCACCAAAAAAAAAAAGAACAGAAACAAAAGTGAGTTTTTCGTCTATTTTCGTCCTTTTATCCTTAGTGATCAAGCAGCCACCCAAAGGTTCTTAGATTGCTTGAACTTATCAGCCTGACTTATCAGGTATGGTACAATATTTTTCTCTCATAACAAATCAGCGAACAATACTTATCAGCCAAGCGAACAGGGCTGGAACGATGGAGGAGCTTCTGACAGCTTTTACTTCTCCAGTAAGCTCGAAAAGCAATGAGCTCCCCAAAAAGGTACGGAGAGCTAACAAGAGTTCCAAAGGCTGCACTTTATACTAAAAAGTAAATAAGCTTCCCTCACAACAACTTTTTGAGCTTTTCCAGAAAGCTTCTCCGGAAGGAGCTTTTAGAAAAAAACTACATCCGCCCCAAATAAAGCCTTAGTCAAGGACAAGATGGAGCTTGAACATGTGTGAACATTATATCCAATTATCATGTAAGACCTTTTTACTTCTCTCACGGTCCCTTCCTCTTTCTCCTACCACTCTTCCGACCTCCACCCACCATCCAAGTTGCCAATGTCCTCAGCCACACACTCCCACCGCCGCAGCGGCACCCCTCCCTAATGTATGTCATCTTTCTTCTCTTCCTCTTTCTCGCCATGCTGCCTCTCCACCGCCACTTCAACCGCTACCTTAGCCGCCGGTGACCTTACCTCTCACCGTTGTCGTTGTGCTTGACCCGTCCTAACGTTATGCTCGACCGCCTGCCCTGACCACCGGATGTCTAGCACCGGCTTGGTGGCATCGCCGTTGCCGGTAAAACCACTGGGCCACTCACCACCCCTAACATCAACTTGGAGCCACAGCCATCGAAAACCAAATTCCTAACCCTAATCCCCACCGTCTTGCCACCAGTGGCCTCGCGATCACCACCCACAATGTGTTGGCGAGGTTGCTGCCACACTACCCTCCCCTATGGTCGCTGCCACCTCCACGGCCTCCCTCCCCTGTTCCGAACAGGAGGAAGAAGATGACACAGCCTGTGATTTGGTGCAGTCGTGAATACGTGTCCACACCTTCCTTCCCGTCGCTACGCACGTGCGATGTATAAAGATTTTGCATTTGGATGTCCATTATCAACTGCTGCTCGTGTTGGAGCTAGGCGATGATGGCAACGGCAAGCGTTCAACCACGGCAGTTGCATTGTGGATGAACCACTGAACAACAAGAACCTGCTTAGGGAGCTGTAGCTTTTCCAAAAGCACCGGTAAGCTGCTCCGATTAAGCTTCTCTAGTTTTAATATAAAGTGTAGCTTTTAGAGCTTTTGTCAACTCGAAGAAGCAACCATATTTAGGGGAGCTTTTGACTTTTTGAGCTTTCTGGAGAAGCAAGCTGCTAGAACCTCCCCCCAAACAGAGCCTAAAGCATGTGTAATCTGTCGCCTGATAGAAATTTAAATCTATACCAACAGGGCAATACCATGTACCACAAAACAGTTCCATAGATTTACCTCGCTTAACCTTCCAAGTCACAACTATACGACAACACATAATAAGCACCACTCGACGACAGAAATTTACATTTCCTAGCAACAACTTACAAATACAATAATAAAACCAATGGTAACCTCTCAACATATATGGACATGCGTCTGATTTTATCTCATGAAATGAGCCTAGCACCCATCTAGACCGCAAGGGCATGCTGGATATTCGGTGTCGAAAGCCACCGCCGCCAGTACAACATGGATGTTGCGACGCAGTCATGCAGACATTGAGACATGAACGGCTTCCAAGCTGCTAAGTGCAACCCATGGCGATGTTCGAGTATCACATGCCTTCTCAAGTCTCCAGCTCAACTCTGGTGGGAACTGGATCAATGGAACTGGCAGGATGATGCCTTGACCCCAGTATTTGGGAATCTTTTGTGGCCTTCAGGGATCGGTTAACCGTGCCTTTCTTTGTCAGGTGTTTGCCAGCTTCTGAACCTGGTAATTTGCCAATAGCAGCTAAATGAATTTGAATATTTTATTTAAACAGCCATGTAAACATGAGTGTATCCCATGCCTGAAAGCTAAATTCTACTACAAGTTGTTAGTGTCTATGAGGATCTAAACAACACAGATGCCATATGCTGATACGTATAACAAGAAATGTCTTCTAAATCTTCATATAAAAGAAGCTCATGCTAGAAGCAGTGCAGGTGGTATGTAGACTTACCAATGCCAGGCAAGGAGAATCTTTTATGAACTTGACAATCCAAGTCCCCAGTCCTCTCCTTTGAATTAATACTGGAAGTCCTCTCCTTTGGATTACTAGTGGACCGCACAACAAGTACTGAAGGATGAGATGAGGCTTCCTCAGAACCTTCTCGGGGTAAAACCTTCAGTCTAGATTTAGCTGATACCGGACCACTGGATCGATTTGTCGAGGAGCCACCACCCTCTGAGTTTGATGGGAAGACCTTCTGGTTCAACATGTTCAATTGAAGGGTTGAATCATGCTTTTTAACAGGTTTTCTGTAAGGGGTCTTGGTTGCACTTCTGTCAGGTTGCCTGGTTTCATTAACTACGAAAATCCCATCTGCAGCGTAAGTGCCAAGGAACCGACTCTCCCAAGGCCGAACAGCCATCCATCTCTCTAGCCAATTCCAGCCCCAGCTGTTCTTGTCAGGTTCAAATGCTGTAGCTTGTCTTGAACTTGCTTGCCACTGAAATAGGAGGGGAACAAGTTAAGAATTTCGGATACCAGGATTTTGAAAGGCTTACTAGCCTTGCACTGTGAATTCCTTTTTATTGTTTCTTATCAGATGAAGATAATTTCAATTATCATGATGGATGTGCTTTTGCTCCCAGGGAGGACCAAAGCACGGAACTTTCATTTTCCTTCCGAGTACAGGTCTCATGTTTGTTACAAAATGTAATTATTCTACTAATGAGCTGACCAAAAGAAAAATTTGGAAAAGATGAGCATCTTAATTGTCAAGCTAGCATACAGGGAAGGACAGCTTCAATTATTCCCCAAGAAAGGAACACTTAGTCAAACAATAGCAAGCATCCGAGCCTGGCTAAGATTAGACCTGGCCAAGGATAACCAAGCGAGCATAAAGCAAGTCCATATGGTGTTTAGTTGTATGGTTAAACCTGACCTCCTAGGATCGTGTTTGGTTGGGTGCTCTGCATGAGCTCAGATCACCTCTTCTTTGGTGTGGTGAGTTAACCGCTCATCTTCCTCATGCTACCGATGCGGACATGCAGGACATCAAGGAGTCGGCATGGAATCAAAAAGCACTAACGTTTCCAACCCAATCAAAGAGATTCTATCTTTGGAAAATCACTTGATCCTTGTACTAACAGTACAGAACATTACCAGACTGCAGGGCTAGCTAGCTCATCGATCTAGCAAACCTTACCACACCAAAACCTGCACTAAGCTACCAATGGAGACCGACTACCTACTAAGCATCAAGTTCTCACTTTTTTCTTCTACTGAAGCAACAAGAACAAGCGATCCATTGGCCGTGTGCACGCAGGCCACCAACCATGCGTGGCACTCGTTTTCACCGGAGCTGAGCAGCCCATGCCTGCTCCTTGCCCTGCAGCGCACCTGTGTGGTATGGGCAACACCACTGTGAGGTGAGGCAGCACAGGGACAGTACGACTGCAGCGATGAAGGACCAAGACACGAAGGCAGACGGGGCTGCACTGTGAGGGATAGGCGTGCCAGTGACGAGGAAGCTTGACCAAGCTGTTCACACCATCTGCCCCAGCAGTGAAGAAGCAGAAGGTGAGGGGAACGGGAAGGGTGGGGTAGCCGAAGCCTAGCTAACCTTAGCTGCCCAATTCTGTGAGCCAGGGATAGACAAGCTATCTCGGTACGGATGGCTTAGGGAGTTAGGGTAGCCTGGCTCCAACGTGGATGAACCAAACAAACCGGCCGATCTGGTCTAGAGTCTAGACATAATGCAGGCCAAGGAATGAGGGGAAACGAAACACCCCCTTAGACTAGAACAGGTTTTACGTGTTACAATGTTCACTCTAATCCATGGTTTATTACTTCAGTAATCATCTTATTACTAGAATATTGGTTTATCCATATGTTGGTGTAGAAGCAGGATAAACTACCTGATGAGCTAGGGCATAGGCCATGGCTCGCTCACGTTTAGCTGCTGCTTCCTGCCTCTTTAGAAGTTTTGCTTGGATATCTTCCACCGAACCGATACTATCACACCAGCCATCCTGCATTTTAAGACAATTATAAAGGTTCACAAACAAACCAGATTATTGTACTGGAACGCCAGTTATTTCCTAACGAAAAGAACAATATACATTTCTAAAGGAGGACACCTATGGTAATTTGTAAACAAATCATGAAATAGTCTTTTGGAAACATTTTTTGAAATAGTATCAGCACATATATAACTATCAGCCAAATAAATGACAGGATAATAGGATGCCTTTTGTTTTTGAAACTTGTGCATCTCACCTCAATTTCTCTAACACGTGCCTCGGGCATGTGCTCTGGTGAAGTATTTTGCTGATCAGTCTGGTTTTCCAAAGCCATGCGAACTCGCCTTGCTCTAACACGGGCCTGAACCCTGACCAAAGCTTGCATACAGCGGAGTGTCGTAGCAGCTTGCTTTCTTACTATATGGCCTCTTACAAGGGCTTGAAGCCTAACCAACCCTTTTAAAGCTCGACGGGCTCTCCTAGCCTGAAGAAGGAACCCAAGTGGGAACTATAAGGAACTAAAGCATTAAGTGAGAACGATGGTACATTATTCATTTTCTTTCGACAATTTCTATTTTTTTACTTGGTAGAGAAAACTTGTCTTGCCAATTTCTGCAGTTGCAAAAGATAATATACAATCAGATTGTGAACAAACAATTTCAAGCATCACTACAGGAGCACAGGGTACCCATAAGAGTGGACATAGAGGCATAGAACATAAGATTAGCTGATCTACTTTTGCACTAGGAAATGAAAATTGCATTGACATTAGCTACAACCACAACTGAGTTCTAATAAAAAAAAGAGGCATTTGAGCACAAAATGCTTATTCGGGTTTGTTGAGATATTAGAGCTGAGCACATTTTCAGGAGTCAACACGCATGAATTGAATCAATAAATGGAATCCACAGGACAACATGAATGCATACCAGGAAAGCTCTGAATGCTGTCTGAATAATTGTAGCAGCCCAGATCTCTTTCAGTTCCTCTTCAGTTTGAGACAGTGCCACATGAGCTGAACAACAAGTGGGTTCCAAGCATGAAGATGCATTAGAATCACCTTCAGGTGGGTCATTTCCATAAGGAACCTCTGGAATTTCTTCTTGTACAGCAATGCTGCTGTCATCTTGAGAGCGCTGATTCTGAAAATGAAACTGATCGGCAACATCGCTTTTCTGCAGTTTCCCCAGTTGGCAACTCAGTAAGCACAATGATGCATACTCATAACAGGTTAGTGAGGAAGTGTGGCACAAAAATATGTTCTCCATATGTATATCAGAAGGCAAGGTTTGACGTTACAAGTTATACCTATCCATCAGTTGATTTGAAGCTCTTGTGATTGCATAACCACCAAGAACTTTTGTTCTCAGAATTCAAGAAGCGCCAATGAAGTCAAGTATTTAAGCAAGCTTTGAACAAAGCAGGTAACAATTACCCAACAATACGCTCTCTGCAGTACAAATCGAAACTAATACAAACAGTGCATAAGGAATTACCAAGTGCAATTCTGATTCAGTCAAGGATGGATAACTAACATTGACCACCTAGGATTTGTCATGATATGATCAAGAAGCCTGATTAAATAGTTCACCCCTTTTTCTGCTATAACAATTTTAATTGAATTAACTCGGATATTAAAAATGACTCTTGCAAAATCCACATAGGTCTAGGCAATAAGCGAAATGAATGCACCAACCACCAATTTAAGAACCAAGATACGCCAGAACCGCATAATGATTGGAAGAAACCCAGCGCGTACCATTCGTCCAACATCTGCATCTTCCTTACGACGCTGCTGCTGCCGCTCCACCTTCCTCAACCCAACTAACGACTTGAGCCACCTCGCCGAGATGCCCATCGCGCCGCCACTCCGCTCGCCTCAACCGCAGTAACCTAAAGACGCAACGGCACAGAAAATGCAGCACAATCTCACAGGACGGAGGGAGAAAAGGAGTGGAAAAAGAACACCGTGAAAAGCGCATCACCAGATCAACGCCGGCCGAGAGCCGGAGTCGCCTTGCCGGCCAGTAAGCGGCGCCGCTCGGCAAAGATTCTGGGAGCGCTTTGGGGGGTGGCAGGCGCGGTGCGCGATCCGGAGGCTGGGGTGTTGAAGGAACCAAGGAAGGGTGGGCTCGGTGTATCACTAGTAGACGCCGTGGTGGAACCAGGCGGCCATTACTGCCGCAGCAGTGACGCCTCTGTGCTCCTCTGCGTGCGCATTATTGCTACCGCGGCCGCCTGCGTGGTGTGTTGCGGCGTGGCAACAACAGTCAACAGTGGCAACGGCACGGAGGAGAGAGAGACGGGGAGCGGAAGGAAGCAAGAAAGGACGGCGCTTTTCTCGCGTTTTCACCTTCTGCACCGCATGTCGGAGAGAAGCCCCTTTTGTTGCCGTTTTCCCCTCATCCTGTGGAAGTGGACTGGAATTTCAGGCGCCCTTTTTGCTGGGCTCCAAGAACCGGGACAAAATCACGCTGGGGTTCAGCGAATCGTGCACACCGTCACCTGAAAGCAGTCTCACTTTGCTGCGGATTTTTGCGAGTGGTTTCTTCTGAGATCATGGGAGGATCATGTGCGTTAGGCCAGTTTTTACCCTGTTTTAAGTAGTACCATCGATACAGATAAAATTCATCAAGTAGTAGAAATTTAAGATTGTTTCTGGGCCTACATTGCTCTCTGCCACTGATGATAGAGCGCACTCATGGACCGGCTGAAATGTGTGGTTTGTCTCGAGATTCCGCTCAGGAAATCATATGATTATTAACGTGCTATCAGCCTATCATCAGCCTGTTCGCTTGCTCGTAAACGATCATAAATTTTTAGCCAGAAACAGTGTTTTTCTTTCACACCAAACCAGCCAACCATAAATAATCTACGATCGTTTAGCCTTCCGAACAGTCCGAATACTATCAGTGCTCTGCTGCAGCTGCTGAACAGTAACCGGCAGTCGGCTACTGATCGGAAAACGACAGATGCTCTTTCTCCTCGGAAACAGGTGGTTGATTAAGCGCCATGCTGCCATGTTTACTTGTCTGAGGGGTGTTTAGTTCCACGTCCTAAACTTTAGACTTTGTCTCATCAAATATTTAGCACATTATAAAGTATTAAATATAGATTATTTACGAAACTAAATGTACAGCTTGAGACTATTTTATAAGACGATTTTTTTTAAGTCTATTTAGTCCAGACAAATTAATTAGGCTTAATAAATTTATCTCACGAGATAACTGACGGATTCTGTAATTTTTTTTTTTTTTATTAGTATCTGAACACCCCATATAACACCACACGTGACACATCTTAACCTTTAGCCACCGGATCAAACATCCCCTTAGGCTCCGTTTGTTTCGCTGAAAAAACAAACCGAAACACTGTTTTAGCTGATTTGTTGGAGGAGAAAAACACTATTTCAATTAAAAAAACAGCTGAAAAGTACGGATTAGGAAAGAAACGGCTGTGGCTTGTCGTAAACGATCGTAAATTTACAGCTAAAACAGTAGAAAAACACAAACCAGCCAGCAGTATTTCTTCACAAACCGGCAACAATACGAACCAGCCAAACGATCTGACGGCCACGGCTGGTACAGTGTACGCCCGTCATCATTCAGTGATACAGTGTATGGACAGCATGGGTTTTGGGGGTTGCCGGATTCAAATTCTTGTTCGCCGTTCTCTGAAGCCATATTTCCAACACGAGAATTTTCCTGTTTATGTGTTTATTCTATAAAAAATGAATTGAGTCCTATAAATTTCTTATATAATTTTTGTGAAATTTCTGCGTTTCAAACGGCCCTAAACAACGGCTTTTACTAATTATCCACAAAGCAACACCATAAATACATATTGTCTCTCATAAAATATGATACATGCTTTGTTGTATTACACTCCTTCTACCGTGCCTAAATGGTCCGATGATTTCTTGCTCCCATCTTGATCCTGGGTGCGTAGCTTCTTTTTCCCACTCTATACAGAAAATTGCGCCGGCCTATTTTAGTAAGTAATTATTCTCGTATTAATGGTGATCGCTCTAATTGCTCTAGTCGACTAACGACATGTCAATCACGTTAATGTTGTGATTGCGTAGCTAATTATTTTATCATAGGTGCGACATGTGCATATATTAGGATGAGACGTCATCCTTAGTACAGACAATTCATCTGCTCCTCTTACCACTGTACTACGCTGCCGCGGTCTTCCTCATCCCGTCGCCGACGTGTCATCGGTGTCGGGAGAGTAGGTCTTCAAACCCTACGTCTCCTTGTGTATCTGCACGGGGTAGGGCGTATCAGGTTTTTGGAAGCGACGCCGTGACTGCTCGCTGGACGTCTTCTTCCCTCTACGCGGGTGTTTGCTGATCTCCGTCAACAGTCTCCTTCGTCTATTCTTGCGCTATCTCTAGCGCCAACAACCCCACTATAAGAATGTGTACACTTTCTCCAATGTTCGTCATAGCATTCCTTCCGTTACTAGCACCAGGAAGATTGAGTTTCCCTAGAATCATAGTGCTAGTGTTAAATCACATACCTATGACATATGCTATTATTCTTTTTTCTCAATATCAAAATCAATTTATGCATCACTAAATTGCTTTTATTTGCAGCATCGGGTGCCTTCTCACCGTAATTTTGCCCGGTTTCTCTCCTTTTGGCTCTATGTTTGAGTTTTAGGAAGATAAACTATCGAAGAAAAGGTAAAATTAGAGGGAGTCCTCGGCTGCACTGGTTGCCACTGTGGCTCTCATGCTGTCTCCAATAAGAGACCCATTGCGGAACCCAAATCCAAAATATGTCTCCAACACAATACCTATAGCCTCCCACAGAGTACATATATGGAAGGCCAATTTTAGGTGCCAGGAGAGACATAACCCAAATATGAGTATCCTCTCTCCTGAAGACGTATTTGCAAAAATGATTATTTTTTAGGTCTCATTGTTGGAAAAGACCAAACATAGATATTGAACCATTTGCTCCAAAAGACGAATGAGTTTTGTATTTTGGGTCATGATCGTTGGAGACAGTCTCGTAGCCGTAGCCAGGACCAGCGCAGTTGAACGGAGCCAAAGTTTTTTATTTATATATGGCGTAATCGTGGTCTACTAAACGATTTTTAAGAAGATTTTGAAGATGCCCTCACTTTAGAAAAGTTAATAAAATTATAAAAGAAAAAAGAGTTTGAATGTTGTAGTGGACTGAGCGTCTTTGGTCACCACTCGTCGTCAAAACGGCAAGCACAATCTTGTAAAAAAAAAAGCACAATCTTCAGCGGAACTCATCGGACGGCTCGCTTCCCTCCAGCCCGGACCCGACGACCCGCAGCCACGCAGGAATCGAATCGCGTCAACACGCGCTCCCCATCCCCGTAGCCCCGCCCGCCCACGGCCCCCTCGCTCTTTCGCAGGAAGACACCGGAAGCATCTGGAAGCTCGGGCCGGGACCGCCCGATCCGCATCCGACGGGCCGCGCGCCACCCGCCCCCGCCTCCTGCAGCTTCCAGAGCATTCGCTCCCCGCCACCCGTCCCGACGATATAACTCGAGATCCCATATAACTCCCCCCCGCCCCGCTCTATCTCCTCCGCACAAACCTCTCCCGGCACGACACCACGCTTCCCGTCGGATCAAACAACTAGGGTTTCGGAGATGTTCGGGCGCGCGCCGAAGAAGAGCGACAACACCCGGTACTACGAGATCCTCGGGGTCTCCAAGGACGCGTCCCAGGATGACCTCAAGAAAGCCTACCGCAAGGCCGCCATCAAGAACCACCCCGACAAGGGCGGCGACCCCGAGAAGGTGAGCGCGCCGGCTGGTCTCCTCTTCTGGCTCCGATCTGTCCGCGGCGTGGAGTAGTAGCCTAGTAGGCGGGTTGTCAGGTTTACGGCGGTGTTGAGACGGTTTCGCTAGGTCGATTTCCTTAGTAGGCGGTTGATTGGATCTGAGGAGGCGTGGAATTAGATGGGTTTGATGGTTGGGGGTGGTGGAGGGATTCGTATGGGGAAGTAGATGTTGCACGGAAACTATTAGGTTTATTAGTTGCATGGACACTGTTACGATTATTAGCTGCTACCGAGACGCATCTTGAGCTGTTCATGCCCCTGGAATTAGTCGCTCTATGTGGTTTTGGTCGCATAATTAACAATTAATTATTCAAAGGCTTGTTGATCATGCAGAATGCCTTGCTTGGTCTTTTATTTTACTGAAACCGTTTTAGTTTTGTTAGACCTGTTTGTTGTTTTTGTAATAGATGGTTTGGTTTGTTAGTGCTAGTATAATGGTCAAGTTGTAGCTTTTGATGAAAAAATGTGAAATTGATTGCCAAACTTACCTGAGGAACTTGAGGGACATGCATAGTTCTGTTTCCCTAACCTGAATATTGTAGTGTGCTCTTCTGATTCTTAAAATTGGTGCGCTGCTGATTCGAGTCCCTGAATTATTAGATGAATGCTCTGACCCTAAAAATGCTTCACTTATTTGAATCGTGAACTATAGACGAATGCTCTTATCCTAAAAAAATGTCAGTATGCACATTCTGCTTATGAATTATATCCATAATTCTGTAGTGCGATTTCATTCTTTAGAATGATTTGGTTATCATTCAACTATGCTATGATGGTGCTTTGCTCTTGCTTGATAGAACCAGTGGTGATCATTTGCCTAATCTGCATGAATATGGTTATGTTTGGGTGTAAGGCTGTATGAACAGTCGAATGGAGCTGTTAATTTCTGAATGAGATGGAAACTAAGAATTCATGCTTTTGTTTCAGTTCAAGGAGCTAGCTCAGGCTTATGAGGTCCTCAGTGACCCTGAAAAGCGGGAGATTTATGATCAGTATGGTGAGGATGCCCTCAAGGAGGGAATGGGAGGTGGTGGAGGGATGCACGATCCCTTTGACATATTCCAGTCATTCTTTGGTGGTGGCAGCCCTTTTGGAGGTATATTACGAAACAAAAACTGATGCAATGTCATTGACATTGAGAATCACCTACATAGTGGCTCACGCTGTATGTACTTGTGCAAAGGTGGTGGTGGCAGTAGGGGCAGAAGGCAGCGGAGGGGAGAGGATGTGGTTCATCCTCTGAAGGTTTCTCTGGAGGATTTGTACAATGGTACATCGAAGAAGCTCTCGCTGTCCCGCAATGCCCTCTGCTCCAAGTGCAATGGGTAGGTCATCTGAATCCAAAGGGATGCCAAAAGCCCAATTATGCTTTATAGATTAGATTTTCAGGATCTCACATGGTGTGTTCTAATCCTGCAATCTTGCAGTAAGGGTTCAAAGTCTGGAGCTTCGTCGAGGTGTGCTGGTTGCCAAGGTTCTGGCTTTAAGGTCCAAATCCGGCAGTTGGGACCTGGAATGATTCAGCAAATGCAGCATCCTTGCAACGAGTGCAAGGGTTCTGGAGAGATCATCAACGACAAGGATAGATGCCCACAATGCAAGGGTGATAAAGTTGTGCAGGAGAAGAAGGTTCTTGAAGTGGTAGTTGAGAAAGGTATGCAGAATGGGCAGAAGATCACATTCCCTGGTGAAGCTGATGAAGCGGTATGAACTCATTGCCTTGTCAATCTGTCAGTTTGGGTTCTAATTTCTCTGGACCAAATTAACCTTGGGTCCTAACTATCCTGTGCTTGTGTGCAGCCTGACACTGTCACTGGAGATATCATCTTTGTCCTCCAGCAGAAGGAGCATCCCAAGTTCAAGAGAAAGGGCGATGACCTCTTCTACGAGCACACACTGACCTTGACTGAATCTCTGTGTGGCTTCCAGTTTGTTCTCACTCACTTGGATAACAGGCAGCTGCTGATCAAATCAAATCCTGGCGAAGTTGTGAAGCCTGGTGGGTGATCTGAACTTGGAAGATAGCACTCAATTCTTGATTCTGCCTTCGTGCATCTGGCCAATGCTCACTGTTTATTATAAATTTGTGCAGATTCTTTCAAGGCGATCAACGATGAAGGCATGCCCATGTACCAGAGGCCCTTCATGAAGGGCAAGCTGTACATCCACTTCTCGGTGGAGTTCCCGGACTCATTGAGCCCGGAGCAGTGCAAGGCCCTGGAGGCTGTGCTCCCGCTCAAGCCAGTGTCGCAGTACACTGACATGGAGCTGGACGAGTGTGAGGAGACGATGCCCTATGACGTGAACATCGAAGAGGAGATGAGGAGGCGGCAGCAGCAGCACCAGGAGGCCTACGACGAGGATGAGGATATGCCGGGCGGTGCGCAGAGGGTGCAGTGCGCCCAGCAGTAGTCAGCTCGTGGCTGCTATTAGTAGTAGCAATGATAAAGTTTGACGGTGGCGGCAAATCTGTTGTTTCGCTTTGTGCGACTACTGTTGGGTCAAGTTTTCCCGCGCGTATTTAACGTGATGATACTACGGTTACAAGAATGCAGTATTCAATCAGTTCGCTGAAGTTCTGTGATTATGTTTTGCGTTACAGGATCTGTGTGAATAAGCTAGCTCTAGGCACTGTTTAGATCCAATGGCGTTAACAGTTAGTAGCGGGGGAAGGGAGAACACATCTAACGGCAGTTTCAACTTTCAACCCAGAAACATTGGCCCTCATTTGTTATTCAGAACTACTTTTCTCTCACAATATTTCAACATAAGCGTAAGCTAAATTTCAGCATCAACCGAATTTCCTCTCAAAATATGAGGTACAGAAATTAATTACGGGGTTCAATCGGTAATACAGGGAAGGCCTCCAGGAACGACACCCAGACTGATCCCCACTGCAGTCAAAATATTCACAAGCACCATCACCGGTGCATCATCAGTACTCACGGTAGAGGCAGCACCGTAGCTCTTGCAGCTAGAATGGCTTCTCGCTTAACAGCCTATTCGCTTTATATTTGGCTTATAAGTCATGGTTTATTAGCCAAAGAACAGTATTTTTCTCACACATTAAATCAGCCAACAGTACCTTTAGTCATAGCTTATAAGCCAAATCAGCCCAAACGAAAATCTAGTAACCAACCACTGGTGACAAACTTCGATAGAGCCAACTTATCTACACCGGACTGGAGAATCAAAGAAATCACACTGGACTTCATCCATTCAAACAGAGACAACCACTACTATCCACTCAAACAGAGAGCGGTTGCTCAAACTGTTTCTTAAATCGAAGCCATATTGTAAGTTTTCTCATTTCACCGTTTTTTAGAAGTCAAAGTTCTGTCAAGGAGAACCTAAAAAGTTATTAGTTGGGGATGAATAAAATTTAACCCGTAATTAGTTTATATTTGTAAGCTAAAATTTAGCTACTAGTCGTTAATTCTAGTGATCCAAACAATATTTATAAATCTCACGCCTATAGTGGTAGAGATGGTTGTAGCTTTTTAGGTTATGTCTGCATAGCTATTGTTGTTAGCACTGTAGATGCGGCCGCAGCTGCAACTATCTTTGCCGAGCACCCCTTACTTAGGGCCTCTTTGGCATACGGGTGAATCACAGGAAAAATGGAGGATTCATTCCTATGAATTTTGCTGACGTCATCTTCTCTTTGGCAACGAAGGAAATCATCCGGAGGAATCCATTCCTATGGATTCATTGTCTCACTGTAGCACAGGAAAACAAACATCCAGGTCGAGCTCATGTTTTCGCGCAAAGTCCGAGGCAACGGCTCGCGAGCAGTCCATAGGAATCGACTTTTCTTTCCTTTCCTACGCCTGCGGATTCCTCCGTTTTTTCTTTGCTTTTCCTCCTGTCCAAAGGAGGCCTTAAAAATCTTTTGTGCAAATGGAATGCGTTTTCGTTCAAATGCTGCGCAGCTCCAGTGTAGTAAAAAGGCCAACCGTGAGAAGAGAGAGAGAGCAAGGTTTGATTCGTACACTACATGCATCGAACTCTGGGGAACGCTTCTTTGATTCGAACTTCTGATGGTGCGAACCGTAGCAATAAACAATTGGGTGTTTGGCTGGCTATAAAGTTGCTGGTGATAATTTGTATGGCTGTTTTTTTTATAGAGAAAAATATTGTATCATGATTTATAAGCCAGCGAATAAGGACGGGTAACGAGGGGAGCAAGGGACATGGTCCACTAATCAGCTGCTCTACACACTCTCTGTCCACACACTGCAAGCAATTGTTTATTTCAACTTGACACCGATCTAATCGAACTCCACGCAACAGCAAGCGAACCATGAGAAACATCGATTTTTACTGGGCCCACACCTTTTTAAGGGCCTGTATGGCATGGCTCTAGAGCTGAACTCCAGCAACTTCAGCCAAACACTCCAGCTCCAAAACTCTATGGAGCTGCTAACTCCATGGAGCTATAGTGCAAATAGAGGTGGAGTTTTGGAGCACCTCTTTTGCAGCTCCAAAACCCACCAATGTCACTGGTTACATAAAAAAAAATGGTTCGTTCTTTTCCTCCCGAGACCCCCCGCGCCACATCTCCCTCCTGCGCCTCCTCCAATCCGCGACTGCTCTGTTCTGGCGCCCGACCCCCGCCGCCGCTAGGGTTTGCCTGCCGCCACCCACACCGGCGGCCGCCATCCATCCCCGCCGCTGGCTGCCTGAGCCCCGCCGCCCTCCTGCTGCTGGCGGGCGTCGAGCCACTCCACGGCGCGCCACAACTCGTCCTCTGGCACACCGGCAACGTGGTGGTCCAGCGCCGCCGCGACGGCGGGCAGCCCGACGTCAAGGTCGGCGCGCACACGGGTGAAGTGGACGACGCTGTCGTAGTACCCCCACGGCAGCGGCGCGTACATCCGCTTGCGGAAGTCCAGCGCCAGCGTGAGCAGCGCGCGCACCCCGGGCGTCGGGAAGTGGAACGTGGCGGAGGACATGGCGGCGGCGGCGACGCCGGCCGGGGACGCGGCGCTGGACTTCTCGACGAGCAGAGGCGAGGGTGGGGGCGGCGAGGCTGGGGAGACTTCGAGCGCTGGGGCATGGAGAGCAGTAGATAGATGCTGTCCAAATATCTACTAATTGGCTACTGATTGTTTATCCATACTACTCATTATGTGTTGAACAAATTGAATTAATCAATGTTCAATGACTTGGGAGGATTTGGCTTGAAATGTATTAGTAATTATTTTGGAATTTACTGCACGTATTTTCATTTCATATTTGCGAGAAGTTTAAGTCATCCATTTTGTCTAAAGAACGTTGTATTTATTCAAACTAGGGGCAAGAATGGCAATCTACTCTCAAACTCCTCTTTTGTGGAGCTGGGGACACCCTCCCAGTCAAACACCTCCATCAGACAGCTCCAACTCTACCCAGAACTGGCTCCACCTGAAGTTCTAGAGTGGAGCAGCTCCACCCAAAGTTGTAGCCATGCCAAACAGACCCTTAACCGAACTATGCCCTGGAGCTGCCCGCACACCTCCGTCTCGATGCTCCCCGCGTGTCCAAAAGAATATGGCCCCATTGGCTTGTCTTATAATCCGTATTTTTTAGCTTATTTTTTTAATCGAAACAATATTTTTCTCTCATAACAAATCAATCGGAACAATGTTTCGGGGAATATTTATATATTTACCATCATTACGATGTGAGTGGTATATAAAAAATACTATGTCAGTGACACAGTGTAAGATGCCATCCGTAATAGTGGTAAATATGTAAATGCCCCATGTTTCGGCTTGTTTTTTCAGCGAAACGAACGAGGCCTATGTAATTTGGAACGGTATTATATTTTATTATACCAAATTTGATCAATTATAGATAAAAAATATAAATATTATAATATCAAATAAATATCATTAGATTCATTATAAAATGTATTTTCGTAATAAATTAATTTGGAGCCATAAATATAAATACTATTTACCAGAAATCTGGTCTGAATGTGAAGCACTATAGCTGGCATGCATACTATAGCTGCATCCTTTTGGGGAGAGGTAGTACAATTTAAGATGTATTTTTTAAGGTGTTAAAATTTAACTAAATATATAGTTGAAAATATTGACATATCAAATAGATATATTATTATAAAAAATCTATCTTACGATACATCCAATAATACATGCATTTATTATTATAATATTAATATTTATTATATATAGTTAGTCAAACGAACGGAGCGTAGCTCAGCTGGTTGCGTTCCTCGTGGTGGACCCCACCTACATGGGTTCAAATCCTTAACTTGATACGGGTGCTCGTATTTTTTAGGATTTATTCTAGAATTTAATGTCACTATTTTTTCAATGGTAGGCGACGTGCCTGTCGAAAGCGAGGCGCCTGGTTGATCGTACAAAGCAAATGTTGCGCGACTCATCGACCCATGTGCCAATGTAGGGGTGGGCAAAGTACTCGAAACCTAATCTCCGAATCTGAAATACTCGATCACAATTTTGGATAGTAAATGTAAAACCATAAATTTAGTTTGGGTAGTTCGAGTAATGTTCCTTGATACTCAAATAAACTAAAATATCTTAAATATTTGCTCTCTTATTCCTAATACGAAGACATTGGTTCAGTGCAATATAAGTATTATTTGGTATTACTTAAAGTAGATTTATGCTATAATTGATTTGTTGTTAATTGATACCAAGACATGATGTGATTTAAAGGACCGCTGTTTATTGCTTTTAAAATGCTAATAGAATTCTTTCAAAATGGTTGATTTTGTCAATTTTGTGTATATGGGGTAAAAAACGAACCCGGATTATCGGGTACCCAAAATTTTGGATAATACTTTTTCAGGGCCAGAATCAGGTAGGAATTTTTAATATCTGAATTTCCAATTACCTGACCCGAATTTTTCGGGTAACCCGAATGCCGAGCCCTACTCTAGTGGGATGGTTCCGCTCCCTCCTAAACAAAGGATAGAATCATCGTGTTGGGGTCATAACCCCAGGGTGTCTCAAGACATCGATTAGTTAGCAGGTCATGCGGCCCGCAATATTTCAGCTAGCGAAGGCCCTAACGACCGAGGCCCAGCCAAGCCAAGCGAACCAGGCCGAGCGCTAACCCCGGGGTCAGCCACGCCTCCTTCCTCCTTCCTTAGCCGCGCGACGCTTGAAAGGCGCACGACCTCTCCCCCATCACGACCCCCGGAGGGACCGGGGAGAGGTCGGGCCTAGGCAAGCGTGCCTGCTCTACCAAGAACAAGCACGCTGTTCTGACCCCGCAAGGACCGAGGAGACAACGGTCATCTTGGTTCCGTCAGACATCATTTTCTGTGCCACACTATACACACAAGACAACACCGCACGCGCGGTGACGATCGACGGAGCCCATCGTCCAACTATAGACCAACAAGACGTGGGTACGATCCCACCCACTATGGGATGGGATCCACGACGAAAGCCTTGACTTAAAGGCCATCCAGATCGGCGGGAGCCACGACCCCGACGATTGGGATCGTGGCCCTCAACTCCCGAAGCTAATAAGGCAATCGACGATCTTGGGGCGGCTACCAACTCTGATACGACACCCTAGAAAATCAAGAGACGATGACGAAGACCACCGCGGAGACCACATCGCACGGGATGGCTGACGAACCTCCCGCATGCCTACAGTGCTGCCACGGCCAACACAGTAGCACTACCCCACACCATGCCGCGACGTGGCCACAAGACCATGATGACATACACACCCGGACGTGTACCTCAAGATGACGTAGTTTGCAAGCCAAGTTAGCTAGGCCCTCCCTTAGGCTCATGATCCTTCGGCCGGGAGAACCTACTGCTTTGTATATGCCCTGGCCCCGAATTCTATATAAGGACAGCCAGGGCACCTCTCTAGACAGATTCACATCCTCTACCATTTTATTTATTCTCCATTGTAGAAGGGCTCTTAGAGCTCTTATGTCTCTGTTGCCTTCTTGTTCTTGATTACGCGCACCGCTGCCGATCAATCTATCTTCGTGGAATACCCCTCGGAGGACTGCCGACGATATTCTGTCGACAGACCCACAACTCTATAGCTCAACATTTTTTATCTGAGGACATTTGAGTACGAAAATATTTTGTAGAATGCCTAAATTTACGAGAGGCTTGGTCCAAAACATACAATAATGATTCTGATGCAGTGATGTTTAAGTTTTTATACTCCCTCTGTTCCTAAATGTTTGTTGCCACGATTTGTGTGCCGATAACTTTGACTCGATTTATAGAAAATGCGTGGAACATTTCTATCTCCAAATAAATTTATTAAAAACTAGATTCAAATATCTATCAATGATACTAATTATGTATCATAAATATTAATATTTTTTAATATATATTTAGTCAAAGTTGTTTTTCGGAAAACTAAAACGATAGATATTTAGAGACGGAGGGAGTAAGTTAATTGACGAACATAAAAATTTAAATTTAGACGGACTGGAGTTGAGAATCGCTCATTGGGTGACTTTCTAAATTCAAATTCGTCACCGTCGGATGACACTGGTTCATATAAAGCTTGTAAAAAATAGGGACGCACCGCGGGCCCGATTAGCTTTGCTTGTGCTGGCAGCCTCGGCCTGGCACACAAAAACCCTTGGGCCTAGGGGCTTCTTCCGATCCGGCACAAAGACGAGCAACGGTAAAAATTCCAAAACCCCTGCCCCCGTTCCTCCAAAACCAAATGCAGGCCGAAACGGTAAAAATCCCCCGCTAGCCTTCGTTCCTCTGTACGGCGGCGCCGTCCCGTCGTCGTCTTCATCCCATCTCCGGCCGCCACGGGGCTCCCCCGGCGGCGCCAATCTCTCCTCCTCGGCAGCAGGGAGTTCTCCTCTTCGACCACCACTCTCTCTCCTCCGCGCGGCTACGAGCTCTCCCCCGTCCCCCTCCTCCCTCGGCCGTGGCCATATCCTACGCCACCGTGCATCTCTCCAGCACGACCAAGCTCTCCTGTACGGCGCCGTGCAGTCGTCGTCTCCATCCCATCCATATCCCCCGCTCTCCGCCGCCGGTGAACTGTGCTGCATCTGCAACCGACCAAGGCTCTCCGCACCGCCCGAGGAAATAGTAACGCTGTCCCCGTCCCCGTCCCCTAATCCATCCGTGTCCCACTCCGATCAAGGTACTAAATCTGCTTCAGATGTGAGATAGTTTCTTATTCCCTCGAATGATTTGATCTGTCGATGGCGATTAGATGTGCAAATACTTGTAGCTGTTGATCCTTTTCGATTTGGTTCAGATTTCACTCTGCGCTCGATTCCCCTCCGTCCCGTTTTTTTCTTGCTTCCTGGGGATTGAAGGGGGGAACCTAATATCCCCATGGGGAAATTAGTTACTTGGTGAAGACGAGAGGATGATCGTCCTGCTCACATTGTCAAAAGTTTCAGTATACTATGTTTTATTCTGCATGCATCAGATAATTTTCTCACCCTCCACACTCTTTTTTTTTTTGGCAGCTAAGCGGGACAATGGAGCTTAGGTCCGGGCGTCACTTAGTGTACCCACCGCCGGCGCAGCAAGAAGGTGGCCATCGCCGCCGGTCCCAGCAAAGCTCAGAGGACAGGATCAGCGGCCTCCCTGAGGACCTGCTTCTCGAGATTCTCATCCGTCTCAGGTCCGCCGCTGGAGCTGCGCGCGCCGGAGCGGTCTGCCATGGCTGGCGCGGCCTCTGGACTGAGCTTCCTGAGCTCACGTTCTGGTGCGCCAACCCCCAACCTGTCATGTCTGTGCTCACCGGGATCACCCGTCCCTCGCTGGACCTCCTCGAGATCAATTTGATGGCGGACTGGGGCAAAGACTGGGCTGGCCAGATATCCTTGCTTCTCCGCGCCGCTGCACTTGTGTTGCCGAAGAAACTCATCATCTCTATATTGATCCTCCCCACAAAAGACTAACGTCGTCGAGCTTCCTTGCTTCGAGCGCACCTCCTACCTTAGTCTTGATCCGGGCCGCTGCACTTGTGTTGCCGAAGAAACTCATCATCTCTATATTGATCCTCCCCACAAAAGACTAACGTCGTCGAGCTTCCTTGCTTCGAGCGCACCTCCTACCTTAGTCTTGATTGGATGGGCAGCCTCCCAATTACGTTGCCACGGTCCGGAGAGTTCACTGCGCTTGAGAGCCTTCACCTGGAATCGTGCTGCATCGACCTTGGTGCCCTGCTCTCTCTCTGCCTGTGTCTGCGCATCCTGAACATCCTGAACATCAATAATTTCAGACATGTTAACACTATGATTGTTCAGTCGCCGTTGCTTGAGGAGTTGGGCTTGAAGATAAATAATCATGACATCTACTGCATTGGCATTGCGGCCCCAGTGCTTAAGGAGGTGACACTGGAGGTAGATATTGCCAAAGGCTTCAGTTTGTCCTTCTTGGCCCCAATGGTGAAGAAACTCAGATGGGGTTGCTCTTATTCGTACGTTTCTGTTGGGTTCGGCCAGATATGGCGCCTTCTGAGCATAAAGGAGCGTGAGCTAGATGATTTCCATGTCGTCTCGCTGATCATAATGAGTTCTGCTAATGTGCGTGTGCTACTTTGCTATGTTTCTCTTCCAAACATTTATACCGAAATTATTTATCTTATTATATGCAGCCAAATGGTTTTCTTCATGTGACGACAATTTCCACTTTTGATAACATTGGACACTCACTTTGTTGATATGCAGCCAAATGGTCTTCTGGATGCAGAATGGAGCATTACACAAGTGATAGCTCATCTTCCAGTGACTGCTTTTTCTGTTTTAGAGTTGGATCTCGAAACAGAGAGGCATACTTTTGGACCAATGATGTTGTGTCTGCTTCGGATTCAACCAACTATGCAAAAGCTTAAGGTGGTCCTAGCACGTGACAAGGTAATCATTCGGTTGTTGATCCTGTACTTATGTATTCTGGTTGGCTACTGAATTTAGATAGTAGTGAATTGTCCTGTAATTATGTATTCTGGTTGTTGATCCTGTACTCCAATTTTCTTTCAGGTACGAGTGCCCTGCCCAGTAAACTGTCCTTGTGAACATCCTATCAACTGGAGAAGTGAGGATGTCTCTTTGGCTAATCTTGAAGTCGTTGAAATTCATGGCTTGCAAGGAGAAGATGATGAAGTTGATTTCCTAAAAATCATACTCCAATGTGCAACAGTGCTTCAGAGATTGACAATGACTATTTCTGATGACGTCTCACCAAGTAACAATGGCTACAAGAAGATCTGTAGCATTATGAAGGAGCATCCTGATGTGGAATGCCATATTATGGCATCCAGTTCTGAGGGGGTTCTTTATCCATGAATAGAAGAATATTTGTAAATGACAACAGGTGACATTCTTATGCTTCCTGTCAGTTTTTATCTTGCTGATATGTTTTGCTGGAGATTTCTATATGCAAGTTTCATGACTTGATAAATTTGGTGATGACCACTGGACAGAAGGTGTCATTGCCTATTAGTAGATCAATGATTTGTATCCAGATCAAGTATCTATAATTTAATGTGTCTCACAGTAACTCGGTAGGGTTCAACTCCTTTGTATTGCCGGCCAGGCAAGCTAGACAAGGAAACACGATGTAATGTGCAAAGAGCACTTCAAAATTTCCAATGGCGAATGTTTAGCCCCATCTTTTCACTATCCCTATGATGAAATGAAATCCAGTTTAACATTTTTTAAAAAGAACTCTTTTGTAATTCATGAACTAAAGTTCAGGTCTGCTTAGCGTGTCATTTACTGGTCAAGATAGGGCAAGTTGAGTTTGTCGATGCTGTTATCTCTATATATAACATTATAAATAAAAGACATATTACAAGCCCGAGAACTTTCATGGAAAAGGAACTTTCATCTAGAGGAACAGTTCTGCACGATTTGTTCTCAACAGGCAAAGCCAAATTGCTTCAAAGCAATCAAGTTACCTTTCATTTATGGATTCTAGTGTTGTCCTCCCACAACATTCAGAACATTCATGATTTAGTATTTTTTTTACTGATACCGTTTTAGTCTTGTTAGATCTGTCTGTTGTTGTGTACTAGATGGTTGGTTTGCTATTATAATGGTCAGGGTGGTAGCTTTTGATGAAAAAAATGTGAAATTGATTGCCAAACTTACCTGAGGAACGGACATGCTTGGTTCAGTTTCCCTAACCTGAATCCAGTTTCTCTGACCTGAATGCTGTAGTGTGCTCTACTGATTCGAATGTTAGACGAATGCTCTGATCCTAAAAGTGCTTCACTTATTCCATGAATGTTCTGGTCCTGAAATATGTGAATATGCACATTCTGCTTATGGATTATTTATATATATACAGTATGGTCACTTGTCTGCTCTGTAGGCATAATGCAGTTTGATTTTTTAGAATAACTTTTACCATATGTTGTCATTTAATTAGTGATGCTTTGATGGTGCTTTGCTCTTGTTTGATAGAACAAGTAAGGCTGTATGAATGGTCGAATGGAGCTGTTGATTTCTGATTGAGATGAAAAACTAAGATTTCATGCTTTTATTTCAGTTCAAGGAGCTAGCTCAGGCTTATGAGGTCCTCAGTGATCCTGAAAAGCGAGAGATTTATGATCAGTATGGTGAGGATGCGCAATGTGATGATACTTCTGTTACAAGAATGCAGTGTTCAATCCGTTAGCTGAAGTTTTGCGTTACGGGATCTGTGTGAATCAGTTTTAGTCTATGTTTAGATTCAATGGCTGCTAATATTTAGCAGCTTGCATCTGGGAAAGGGATAACACATTTAGGCCCTGTTTGGTTGGGCTTTTGGCTTTGGCTTTTGGTCCCAAAAGCCAAAAGCCCAACCAAAGGGGCTGTTTTTGGAGGGTGCTTTTTCAGAAGCAGCTGCTTTTCCGTAGTTCATTTTTGAAAGCTGGGTTGACCCTGCTTTTGGCTTTTGGCTTTCTGCTTTTCGAAATTGGTGGAATAAAAAGCTCTTCCATAGTTGTTTCAAGAGAGATAAAGATAAAAGGTATATTTTATACTTGTTTAACCAAACAGCTTTCAGCTTTTCTACAGCTCACAGCCCACAGCAGCTTTTTTCCACAGCCACAGCTCAACCAAACAGGGCCTTAATGACTTTGTATTAGTAGCTAGCACTTCGTGGTTGTATTATTTTAAGCTTGGGTGGTAGGGATGGTCTCTCAAATCTTAGGCTATGGCTGTTAGCTGCAGCAACTTGGCAGTCGGAACATGACAGTGCCTGCTATTTCCTCAACCCTGAATTCCTGATCTGTTCGTACAAAGCCCGTATTTCATTGAGCAATTAAAGTTAAAAAGTTGAACTTGGAGCCATGAGCAAGCCAGCCTGAAGGCTGAAGGTCATAATCCGTCTGGTTTATGATGTCAAGTGTGCGGGGCTCGTACTCGCATGCCTTGATCGGTTCAGTTGGACGGTGCTGCACCAGGATATGCCTTCGGGAACACCTTCCAATCTGCTGTCACCTGACCAGCTAACCTACCTCTCGCTAGCTGCCTACACTACAGTTGGCTGTGGAGTATAGCCTGTATGGGCTCAGCACACCTGATGCTCCGATGGTGTCAACTTGAACGGTTCCATAACATCATAGTGGATTTGAATGCTGGATGACCCTGTGCTTCAAAATACCATAGGAATATCCAATGCGTTGATTTTTAGTTGCAACGGCCTATATATGTATACCATCTATGGATCCAAAGGTTCTTTCTTGCCACCTAGGATGGTTCATACACTTATTTAGAGTTAGAGGGCAAGAGAGAAGCACAAGAGTGACTTCAAGGGGTTAATTGAAGACTAAGGGGCCAATTAGTGTCTAGGGAGTAGCAAGTGTGTATCCAATATCTCTTTGGCTAGAATTTGGTCGAGCGAGAGTCTTTTTACTTTTAATCTTAGCGATTAACATCACCCCCAAGAAGCTTGTAATCGTTTAGAGGTCCACCGATCGAGAGTAGAGAATCTATTACCACTAGAGAGCGCTTGATCGTAGCACAAATCAAGGTATGTTACATCCTTGTACGGGTGGTTCAATAAGGACCGATGGAGAGAGTCGGCTCTCCAATATGCCAGGAAAACATATTTGTAATCTGCTCTTTACTTTTCACATTTATTTTGTGCATTTTACATTCTTAGAACATAAACGAGTTCATTAATTAGTCACACTTTGCAACCTTGAGCAGAATAAGTGAGTTTGAAAAAAAAAACCCTCTAATTTTCGCAACAAAATCATAGAAGCCCAATTCATCCCCTTCGATCGGATACTTCTGTGGGCACATGCATGTGTTCTCTCGTGGTTGCTAAATGCTGTTACGTCACGTGCGCAGCGTAGGATGGTGGCAGCCCATAAAACGCCGCCGTTCTACTTCTACCACCTGTTTGCCTCCATTTTCCTCTATCATGATCTGTTCGTACCAGAGCCAAGAATTCGTCGAACATTTAAGTTCAGAGCTGGACCTAGAGGTCATGAAGACGAACTCATTCATGATCGAGCACGGCTCAAGTTCGTATATGAATCCGTCCAGTTCAGCTCGCATTCGTGAACTTTCAACAGCAATATTCTCCCCTCTGTAACATCATTAATCTGTGATCCCGTGCAGTCTCTCTTCTCTTTACGAATCCAAGATTCTCCGGTTTGTGATGTCAATGCAAGCGTGTGGTACTTGATGCTGTGGCGGCCAAGCGTGCGACTTCTTCAAACCCCGCGACGGCGAGTCGGCGACGAGAGCGACAGCGATGGTGACGGCGACGCGTGCATGCCTTCTTCAGCTCAGTTGGCCGTTGAGCGAGCTCTCGCAGCCTCGTAGGGCCATCTCCTGCTGTCACCTGACCTAGGCACCACCTGCTCAACAACGCCCTGGAGGAATTCTAATTTTCTTGGTGATTGAATAAAAAAAACTTTGCTTGATCCAACTGACCAACTGGAACGAGTACAGGATGAATGATGATGATGCAGGGAGGGGAGAAGCATCAGGGGAAGGGCATCGCTGGAGGAGGTTGTGCTATCTGCAACTGCTATGCTAGGCTGCTCAACTACTAGGGCATACGGAGTACTATACAATTGCATTGACCCACGCAATTGGACTCAGAAAGTTCCATCAATCAAAGTCCAAACAAAACTAGTTTATGTGCTTCTTTTTTCTGTCCGTACGTTGACCTTCCAGACTGAGTAACTGACCAACACATGTTCTTCAATCCAAAACCCACCTTCTCTGACGTTGCAACGAGAAGTTCAGAAGTCAGAAGCCAGAGCAAGGATCCATTATTCTGGACAGCAACCAAGATTCGGTTCCAGAGTGCCAATCGGCTGCGGCGTCCTCCTCGAAAAAACAACAGCTTTAATCGAATCGATTGGCATTTGGCAAGATGAGGTAAGGTTTGGTAGCGGTGAAGAGGGTCTACTAGGGCTTGTTTAGATCACCTTCAAATTTTAAATTTTTTCACATACTTTTCATCACATCAATTTTTGGACGAATGAATGGAGTATTAAATATAGATAAAAAATAACTAATTACACAGTTTGGTTGTAAATCACAGAGCGAATCTTTTGAGCCTAGTAGTCAAATACAAAGCGAAGCGTCTTTCAGTTGTGAAATCTAAAGGGTCTCAAATTCCAGTTTTTTCACTCTCTCTCCATCACATCAATTTTTATTGCATGGAACATTAAATGTAGGTAAAAAAAATAACTAATTACAGCTTTATTGGAAATCACGAGATGAATCTTTTGAGCTTAGTTGGTCCACGATTGGACAATATTTATCAAATAAGATGAAAATGCTACTATTCATCGGGTTGAAATTTTTTTCAGTCTAAACATGCCTAGATCTTGAACTTGTGACGTCCCCTTGCGTGTGGACCACAATAATTGTTAACTTGAGGTTGTGGAGAAAGGGTCATTCCAGACGACTAACATTAAACAACCCTGACATAATCCATGGAAAAGATTTAACTCTGACGTGAGGCATGACAAGGGGGCCGACTTCTGAAGCTCAGAAAAAAAGGACGCAAAAATATTTCTTTCGGCGATAGTAGACAGGAGTGAGAAAAGGCAAGCATGCATGCCACGCACACAAATAAGTCCGGAACTCAGATGACTTCAAGTGCACTTCACATGTCACTCTTTGAGGATTGCATGCACTTGGACAAGTCGGATGACCTTGCCTTCTAAGGCATATATATATATATAAATAAATTGGATCAGTCCTTTTTTTCTCGACTTGATCCATTCCACCCACGAGGTCGCAAGTATCACACAAAAGAAGAGGCCCCGTATAATGTCACAGTAAAATATTTTTTTCTTTCCATTTTTTCCCTGAAAACATATATGAAA